GACACGCTCAAGCCCCCCGCCCTCTCCTGTGCCGTCCTCACAGCCTCTGACACACTCAAGCCCCCCGCCCTTTCCTGTGCTGTCCTCACAGCCTCTGACACGCTCAAGCTCACAGCTGCAGTCACTGTGTCAATCCACTTGGTTGAGGGTCTTCCTTTCCCTCGCCATCCCTCCTCCTTTCCAAGCACGATGTCCCTCTCAGGGAATAACCTCTATTAGCAACATCCCAAAGTAGGTGTGATGAAGCTTTATCATCTTTTTTCCCTAAGGAGCACTCTGGCTGCACTTTCTCCAAAATATATCCGTTCATTCTTTCGGCAAGTCATAGGATATTCAGTACTCTTCTCCAACACCAACAGTTCAAAGGCATCATCAGTTCTTCTTCTGTCATCCTTATTCATTGTCTAGTTCTCAGATGTATACCAAGTGACTGAAAAGACCATGGCCTGAATCAGAAACACCTTAGTTCTCAAAGTTAGTCTTCAGTTCTCCAAGAGGGCTTTGCTCTCTCTACTATAACTAAGACCATAAAAACCAAGGTTGCTAGTGGCCCCTCACTTACTCCAGAATGAGGGGATGGTAGCAATTCTCATCAGTGAACAGGACCTGGGGTGTCACTTCTGGGATTTATGACATGAAAATTTTGCACTTTGGTAAGACCAGTGAATTCTTGCGTGTGGACCCATTGCCACATTTCATTAGTGTGAAGTGAGTATCTAGGTCTGAGATGATGCCATGTGAGACACCAGGACTGTGGGATAAGCTACTCGGACGTCTTGTCAGAAGGTGCATGCTGGGAAGGCAAATCTATGTCCAGAGTGAGAGAATTCCTGTAAAAACAAAGCACGGCCCTTCCCATGGTGGAAGTGACCCAGTGTAAGTGACCTGCCACCAGAATGCTGTGGACTCTCTGAGGAACGGCTCCATATTGACGACTCAGTGTTGGGTTTTGCTGGTGGCTTGTTGAACACTCAGCAATGGTTGTAGCCAAGTCAACCTTGATGAGTGGAAACCTGTGTAGTAGCTATGTCTGTGCGTAACCTCCATGCCTGACACAGAGACCATTTTGTCTATGAACCCTTCAACAACAACAACAATTGTGGCTGAAGAAAGAGCCTGACTGGTTTCCACAGAAGGTGTCATACTGTGCACTCCATCCCTACAAGGCCTCCACTGCTGAGGTCACTCTGTGGGGACCGTTCACATGAGAAACAAATATCTTCACTTATTTGGTCCATTCAGAGAGGTCTTCCACATGCCCCCACCCCCCAAGCCCTTGTCATCACTTTTCCAACTACATCCCTTCCAAGTGCCCGTCCATCCAGTCAAACCACTGGCCACAGCCTGCACATACACGCACAATCACACATCTGGATATTTTCTTTCCAAGAAGAAGGTACAGGAGGGGCCCTGCTCAAACCTCTGCCTGTCGAGAGGGTTTCCCTTGACCACAGTCCACAGAGGTCCCAGAAAGTAACTGTGGTGTTACTGCGACTGTTACCTGCAAATGGTTCCGGAACAGTAGGTAGAGCCACCTATAAACCAGCACACATTTCCTTTTCCTCAGTCACAGGAGCTTCCCATGAAACCCCAGTGCTGACTGGGGCACAGAGGTGACGCGATGAGTGAAGAACAAGATATTATAAGCCATTTCTTTATGCAAGTTTCTTGTGCCTTCAGGCCCTGCTCGAGCCCACGCCCATATACATCTCTTCAATTTAACAACGGTGTGCTGCTGTGCACATCCAACTTTAAGTGTTACTCTCTGAATCAAACAATGAATGCCCAGTTCATGAGGGAACGTGGATGGGTGTGTGCTTTCTGGTTAGGGAGAGCTGATGTGAGTGGGGTGAGCAGATTTCCCTACCACCAGCTGGATTGTTCTCATGTCTGTCTTATGTCTGTCTGACTTCCATCAGGCCATCCTCCGGAGGGTCTGTCCATGGTGGGAAAGGAGCCCACATGTTCTCTGTGTTTGCATTTCTAATAGCTGAGGTTACCTCTGACAGCTCCCTTGGAATCACGTTCCTCACTTCTCTCCAGGTGATCACACCAGGTAGCCTGTGCTCACCGGACTGTGATGAGGGTAAATGCTCTGCGCCTTGAGACAGCTGGGTGGGTTTAGGGCTTCTCTTCTCTGGGCAATGATGTCAGTTTGAGGACTACAGAGCTCCTGATTCAGATAGTGGTCTTTTCAGTCACTTGCTATCCATCTGAGAGCTGGAGAATGGATAAGAATGAAAGAATTGATGCCTTTGAGCTGTGGTGGTGGAGAAGAGCACGGGACATCCAGTGGGCTGGCAAAATAATGAAGAAACTGTGTTTGAGAAGGTGCAGCCGGAGCGCCACT